TGCGGTCTAATTTTCTGCTTTGGATCAATGTACCATGTTATTTATATGCACGAAAGAGCCACCCGCATCTTAACAAAACAACTGCCCTTTAACCAGCGATTTTTGTTCAGAGTCCAGGAGAAGTCTGCTGTAAAAATAATAGCAATTGTCATTGGTTTGTTTCTTGTAGCTTCTTCGTTAGCTTTGCGATGTAGCTTAATTTACATTTTGAAAGACGAAACACCGTGTGATGATCGAGAATATAAAATACCCCTCCTTGTATTAAACTCCGCCATTAACCTCCTCGCTTACGCTATCTTCAAGAGAGGCATAAACATGGAGGTAACACGGTATGTTTGCTGTTTCATGTGAAAAAAAAGGAACCACATTGAGCCGATTAATGAAAACAACTCTTTCATCCTACGTAGCTAGAATGCATAACACGTCAAACCAGAACTAAAAACTTGGATGAACTTGTCCTCAACCAAAAATATTCAGTTAACAATAAAAGCTAAGCTTTTCGTTTGTCTTTAGAAGTAGTCATGTGTGATGTAGATCGCGACGGTTCGACTGCATACTGCTAGTCTTCTTCAGGCGATGAGGTCGACTGGTCATGCGTGATCTTATAAAGCATGATGCTCTGCTGTGATTAGTTGTTTTTCAACAGCTCTGATTGGTGCATTTCGATCCTTGCTGTTCACTCAGTGATTTGCTCCCTCGGCGGTCCGCTGTTGTACGGCTCTCCTGTTGTTGTGTTTTTTGATCGTGGGTATCCACGCTTCTGAAATTTCTATTCCATTATCCCTGTTGATGTTGTTAGGGTGTAGTCTTATATGAATGGCCTCTTTGACCCTGCGCGTGTTGTAATAAGGGTCACGATCAATAAACTTTACTTCGTTCCAGAGTGGTTTGTGTCCGGTGTTGTGGGCATGCTCTGAAACGGCGGAGGTCTCGGTCGTGCTCTTCAATTCTGTCTTGCATAGGTCTTCCAGTCTCTCCGATGTTCACCTTGCCGCATTCGCAGGGAATCCTATAAACTACGCCATCTTGTTTAGCCGGGTCGACAGCGTCTTTGGGTCGTAATAACTGAGATCTTAGCGTAGTCTCCGACTTGAAAACAGCGCGTACGCTTTGTTGTTGTAGGCAACGGCCAAGCTGTTCAGACAGACCTTTGACATAAGGTAAAACTACAGTAGCTTTGAACTCGTTGGCGGGTTCGGCACTGTTGTTTGGTTTTCCGGTCTTGGTAAGTTTCTGCAAGAAAGAAAATGGATGACCATTAGAAGCCAGAACAGATGACAGGTGTTTTTTCTCCTCGGAGATAACGGAGGATTTTGTTACGAGACGTTTGGCGCGCTCGTAAAGGCACTTAACAATACATATATGTTATTTGCCGGCTGGTAGGTCCGTATGGTGAAAAACTGTGACCGAGGT